AGAATATCCAAAACACTCCAGAAGAATCTACAGAAACAACAGCAATGGGGAGGCAGCACCACTGTCAAGAAACAAGTCTCTGGTACTGCTTCCAGTGTAGCTTTCACTCCTTTACAGGTACATTTGTGTTTCTTCAATTTCTTATTAGTAGTTGTATATGCATAAAATAAGTAATAATTTCTAATTTTTTTTCATTAAAAATTCTGCATATTTTCAGGGTCTTGAAATTGTAAATCCACAAGCTGCAGAGAAAAAGGTTAACGAAGGAAATGCAAAATATTTTTCCAATACATGTGGTTTTCTGAATGTAAAAAAATCATAAAGGAAATTATTTCATATGTAATTTATGTATTATAGGTATTACATGTAATTTAATTTATTATTCTGCCCTATATAATAATCGAGACATTTTTCACAATACAATTTGAATTCAAATTAAGAAAATTAACTATGTTTTGTTGGGTAATTCAACATAATTTTATTTTGTACACAATATTATCTCATAGGATAAAGTAAAATTAGTTACATTCTATCAGCAAAATATTGCTTTCAGTCTTGATATAACAAATTGTATGAAACAAAAGTAAATGTAAATTATTGTTAGCTTGTCTCATTAATAACTGCTAACTCGTTTTTCAGTTATATATTTTCATCATTAAAAAAATCTTCTAGTATCGCATCAAAATTTAAATAAGATTCTGAAGTGTTCAATATAGAATTATCTGTTGCAACTAAACTCATAATACTGGAGTCAATTGTTTGTGTTGCTTCTAATAGCATTTGTGGACTAAATTTTTCCACCTGATTCGCCACATCATCTAATTGCATTATGTTATTTTTATTTTGTTTACTTTCTATTTCGCACTGTGTATTTAAATCTAACTTGTTGAAGAACGTATTGTCGAATAAAATATCACAATTTTTTATAATATCCGTTATATTATTTGTATCTGTAGATAATTGTCTAAATTTTTGTAATTTTTGCTTATTACAGCATTCATCAACACTTGAGAAAATTGTAAGGTCAATGTTAGTCTTCTGGATGTCAGTGACCTTGGGCTGTATCTTAAAACTACTCAGACTTGCATTCCCTTGTTTTGTAATATTTATACTTTTCTCAGTAAGATTATTTTCTAGCTCAAGTGGATCCAACAGTGATAACTTGTTAGAGTTGGCAAGTTCTCTTTTCAAATGAATAAGTTCTTCTTCAGGAAACATTTCATCAATTTTGTCTTCTATAGAAGAATTTGTTAAATTTTCAACCATCATTCCATTATCATTTAATTCGTTAGAAAGCTCTATCCTTCCAGGAGTCACAGGTGGAGTGTAGAGTGAAAGTTCCATTGATACGGGTATGTTTTCTTTCAGAAGATCCGATTCCTTCCAGTCATAGGTAATAGCATTTCTTTTGAAGAACGTCAAGTCTTGAACGTCATGATCAAGCGGCCAGATGCACTAAAATACAATTATGAATATAAGTATAAATGAATTATATGAGAAAGGATTCAAGCAAACTTGTGTATACCTCTTCCCCTGGACAAGCCCATACTGCTTCTTCCAAGTTGATCTGAAATGCCTTGACTCTTCTTTTAATGCCATTTTTCATACACAACGGACAAAAATTCTGCATCTTGCAACAGTCGTAGTTATTAAATAGATTTTGTGACAAGATAAACTTAGCAGAATGCACCCAATAATTTCACGTAAATAACATAAGCGCCATAAATTTTGATAAAATAAACATATGTTTTACATATTTAAATAATTTCACTAAATGTTATGAACGATTAAGTGTTTCGAGCATTTAACAAAATCAAATGTAGAATATTGCGTAAGTTTATATTCGCATTCTTTTCACTTGTAAAGTATACCTCTAAATTGCCGATTAAAAATCTACGACAATAGAATGACTGTTAATATTCGAGTGTATGTGGTTAGTTTATAATTCAATATTAATTTTACATTATTTATTGTCGAAATATTTAGGAGCACGTGTAACACCTATGATAATTTATTACTGTTTATTACTTAGATAGTATGACTAGTATATAACAGTGACGGGGTAACAGTAAAGGCCATCACACACAAAATGACATAACTGCATATGCATAGCATAAGACCGTCTCGACCAATGAACATCTAGCATAAAGGCGCCATATTGATTTACATAGCATGCTCATTGGTCGAGACGGTCTTATGCTATGCATATGCAGTTATGTCATTTTGTGTGTGATGGCTTAAGGGCTATTCTACAATGCGTCGCGAAAGATGATAACTATTAATTGAAAAGTACTATTTCTAGTTACTTCTGATTATTTCCAGTAAGGCCGAATTTCCACTAAGCGCGTCACGCGTCGGCGTTATCCGTCGCGTCACGAACTAACCAATCAAAACATCCCATTATATTCGCGCGGCAAATAATGCAATAAAATGGAATGTTTTGATTGGTTAATTTGTGACGCAACGGATGACGCTGCGCGTGACGCGCTCAGTGGGAATTCGGCCCAAGACTGAGCATTTGCGACGCATTGTAGAATGGTCCTAAAGGCGCTTCAGACTACACATTGAAGATTGAGGTTGAAGATTGAAATTTGACCAATCAAGATAAAGAATTTTTAGCTTCTTTTGTTTCGATTGTCAAATCTCATAGCGTTTTCGATTATACAGGATTTGAACGACCCAGGGTTGATCAATCATTATTTTACTATAAATGCA